TCATGAATTGGACGACATTGAGTTCCTCGGAAGTGAGGGATGAAGAGTCGAGTGAATCGGAAGATGCGTCGGGGTCAGGTGTGGTGAACTCGTCCAAGGAAGTGATGGAGGTGGTGTCTTCAGGGGTGATGTGTGATGGAAAAAGCGGGTGCGGGAGGGGGCGGGCTCGGGTTGGTGATGGGGGTGGAGGAGTCGATCGTGGTCAACAAGGGGCATGTCGGGTTCGTGGGCGAGGGCGGTTGCAAGGTCTTTGTGGCATACTTGTTTGATGTGGGAGATAAACGCAAAGTCGGGAATGACGGTGGTGGGGAGGTGGTGGCGGAGGGAGCGGACATATTGGACGAAGCGGTCCATGGGACCGGTCTGGCGGAGTTGGCAGAATTGTTCAAGGTAGTCATCAATGGTTTTCTTAGGGCGGAAGGTGGCAGTGAGAAGGTTGGCCCATTGGAGGAAGGAGTGACGTGGTCCTCCGGAGGCTCGGCGGTTGCTGACTTCAACAATCCACCATTTAGCGACATTGCCGAGGAGGCGGGAGGTGGCAATGGGGAGCCAGTGGGCAAGGGGTATGTGGTGGAGGTGAAAAGAGTTCTGGAGCTGGGTTAGGAAGAGGAAAACGCCCTCGTGGGGGAGGCTGGAGAAGGATATGATGTTGCCAGATCGGAAGGAACGGGCGATTTGTTCGTCACGGGAAACGATCCGGGCAAGGGTGTTGAAGCTGAGGTTATCGGGGGTGGTGTCGTAGCAGGTGTAGTGGAGTTGGTTGTTGTCCTCAAGGAGGTAGCTGGGGGGGAGTTGTGGCATTGCGGGGTAAACCCCGGAGGTGACTTGGTAATAGGTGGGACGGATGGTGGGGATGGTGGAGGTCGTCATGATGGGTTGGGGAAGGGTACGAGAGTGTGGGGGGGGAAGAGGGGTGACGTGGATGGGCGAGGAAGGAGGTGGTGTGTTGGATGCGCCGGATGAGGGGGGGGGAAGGGTGGAGGAGGCAGACATGGTGGATGTGGTGGTAGAGGTAATCAGAGTGGAGGAGGTCGGTGGGGGGGTGTGGCTGGAGGCGGTTGTGGACGTGGGGTTGGTGGTGGTGACTACCTGGATGGAGGGGGTAGTGGTTTGGGACTCGAGGGCGGAGGATGTGGGCACGGTCGTAGAGGAGGGTGTCGTGGTCGTGACCACTGTGAGTGTGGGGGTTTGATGCTCAATAGAGGTCACACGGTTGGATAGGCCAGAGATATTGGCTTCGATTTTGGTGATGGGCGCACGGATGTCCGTTTGGAAAGAGGATATCATGCGAATGAGGGTGGCGATATCGGTGGCAACGGGCTCGGATCTTTGTTCGCCCGTAAGTTTGCGAGAGAGGCTGTCAACAGACTGGGTGTTGACGGCGGTGATATCGATGCTGGAGGATTGGGCCCATGTTGGGGGAAGATGGAGTGGATGCGGTGGCTGAGGCGACGATTGCGGATGAGGTGGAGGCAGATGCGGCGGCAGCGACGGTGGAGGCGGCGTCGACGGCTGCACGTTGGGAGGTCTTGGTTTGGCGTGGGGGCATGTGGAGATGTAGGTGTGGCAGGGGTGGGGGTGGGGAGGATATTTACAGCATTAATTGATTTATTAAAAAATAAGTAAAGGTATTTGCCAAAACAATAAATGAATAAAATGGGAATTAATTTAAAATAAATTATTTCGATTTGGAGTAATTTATTCGAGATTAATTCGAAAATTCGGAAAGGATTTCACGGGAGAAAGGTTGGAAACACGAAATTTTCAGGAATGAAATAAATGTTGAAAATATCGAAAAAAAATAATTAATTTTGAATAAATAAATTCTGGTGAAATTTATTCGAAATAAATTTTGGGGTATGAAAAGTGAAATTTCAAAAGGAATTAAATATTTTCGAAGTTTGAGAATTTCGAAAGGAAATTTATTAAAATATATGAGAAAAGGAATTAAGTAAAATTATTTTTGAATTTAAAATAAAAGAGAAATATCGAAAAAGAATTTACTTAATTCTAACATATTTTCAATTTTAAAAAAAAAAATTGAATAAAAAGTAGTTTCGAATTTCAAAGGAATATCGAAAAAAAATAAATTAATTCTACGTATTTTGAATTACGAAAAAAAAGAAATGTCAAAAAAAAAATAATAATTTTAAAATATTTTCGAAATACGAAAAATTCAAAAAAGAATTAATTAAAATTATTTTTGAATTCCGAAGAAGAAACGCCAAGAAAGAATGATTAATCCTACGTATTTTCATAAATTTCGACAAAGAAAATATTTTTGGAAAAGAAATGTAGAGAAAGATAGTGAATTGAGTATTTTCGAATTTACAGGAATTTCAAATGAGTTCTAAAAACAATAAATAAAATAATAAATAAATAAAGGAATAAATTAGTTTTGAAGTAAATCGAGGGCGGAGCGATCCTTTCTACGATTGATTGGGTGGTAGCATGGTAGGTAGGGTTAAAAAACGGGGGTTGCACGGGTAGATTGACGATGGTGATGATGATGATGATGATGATGATGATGATAGTGATAGTGATGGGGGGGGAATGTGGGGGGGAAAGTCGTGCAGGGGGGAAGTTGTGTAGCGCCTGGCGGGGGATCGTGCGGAACTCGCGCGAGGTGTGCGTGGCAAGG